TTACCACAAGTCAAAGACAGGTGAAACAGTTTACCACAAGTCAAAGACAGGTGAAACAGTTTACCACAAGTCAAAGACAGGTGGAACAGTTTACCACAAGTCAAAGACAGAAGAAATGGTTTATCACAGGTCAAAAACAGAAGAAACAGTTAACCATAGGATTTACTACAGAATGAGAAGATAGTTAACTGCCTCACAAGCCAAAGCCTTTTTGATTTCTGTCCATATCACAGTGTAGTGAGGCAGGCAAAAAAGGTGACAATGGGTCCTTTAAAAAGTCTAGACTGAAAAGGCCATCAGTTTCTTGAGTGCTCACACAAAAAAAAGGTAGGTTGGACACACAGAGAAATGAAATGTGTAGACAAAACAGTCTTTGGTAGACACTTAGATGATTGTCCGAGCCCTAAGGAAGAAGAGGGAACAAAGAGAGATGTGATTTCCTATTTTCATTATTTTTTAAGGAAAAAAATAAAACTTCATTTCTAAAGAAGAAAGGAGCGGAATTTTCTTTACATCAGAAAAAAGAAAAAAATAAGGGGATGCAAGCGTCCAAGACAGGAAAATGTTTTCCTAAAAGACTTTTCATCTTCCATCTGTAGTCTAATGTCTTGTATACCTATAAATTTCTCATCAGTAACTCTGATTCAAATTCAATGAAGCTTTGAACAACACTTTGTTGAACATTCAGCTTAAATTGCATAAATTGAGGCTAAGGAAAAAGTGAAACAAACTGCTCCAAGAAGGTCTGATTGATCTGAAAAAAAAGATAATCACAAGGTAGCATATCTACATTTAAACTGTTCTGTCTTTGCCACAGCTCTCAAAGGAAGAAGACAGGATAATTGTGACATGGTTTCTATAAATTTCCCTTCCACTTCCACTCAAAGAACAATAAGTAGCTATCTTGTTAACCTCTATATCAAACAGGTAAACTGGAAGTCTCAGAGGTTCTTCTGGCCATTTTGTTTCAGTCACTGCAGGCACATATGGTTTCAGCAAAAACCGTAAATCTAGAAAACATGTGCGTTTAAATAATAATTGATGTGGAAAATATGAAAAACTCACCCTCATATATAGTCATAGCTTTTCCACATCAAGTCTACTTTCATTTCTCCCTTTTTCAAAATTTCATGCACATGGATGTAAAACTCATAAAACATCAAAAGAAAGATGTACGCGTTTTGTTGCTCTTGTGATAAGCCCTTTCAGCCCACTCAATACCGACTTTCAAAGATATTTAGCATAGATTATTCATTACGTATGTTCAGTCTATAACAAGTCAGAATTTTGACCAGAAATGCTCCTAAAAATTAAGAAACAAGGCTGAACAATTCTCCAGCTGCCACAATGCTACAAGATGAAACCAAATAAGTCCTTAGCTTCTGCTATAAAATCTACTCTGCTGGCATCAGCCTGTCTTATCACAAAAGCAACAACGAAATATCATCTTTTTTTGCAAAAGAATTGCTATGGGAAAACAAATAAAGGACAACTGCATCTTCAAAGAATGAAATATGTTGCACCTGGGGGGGGATCTCAATTTTACACAGAAGAATTGCACTAAACCCTCCCCACAGCAAGGCAAAAATTTTTCTCTCTACAACTTTCTAAAACCCAGCACACTTAAAACCAGAATCTTATTGAAAATATCAATTGAATCACAATAAACACATTGATGATTGAGAGTCATAGTACTGGGTGTCAGAGAGACTTTTGATACACTTTGCACACAAATACCCAAATATTTATATAAAGATGTGTGCATTTACTTATCTTTTTGTTTCCAATGACGAAAATAATTAAAGCGTATAAAAAATCCCATTGTAATGAAATCACCTTTTGGTAAAATTTTGGTTAAAGTTTTACAGCGCTCACAGCTGCATAAAGTCATATGAGCGTGTAGGACACAAGCTGGCTATTTTCACCTTAGTTCATAGCACCACTTGGTTTTGCTTTGTGAGTAGAAATGGCTAGAGTATCTAAAACTATATATAGTAAAATTTAGTTTTAAAACAGCAATTTATAATTCAAAATAACAATATTTACATCTTTGAATAAAGACCAACGTCTTTAATCAAATCGAGAATCCCGTTGAGGTCAATGATGAAGAACAGATTCTTCAAAATAGTACATTTAAAATATTTCCTTTGGGTCTCTCCAATATCCAGACGTTTTATCAGTATGTGCCTGATAGTAAAATCGGCATCGAATCCTTTACAAAATCAACTAAAGTCCACAATGCACAATGTGTGTGTTGGTGTCGAGAGGTTTTTCAGATACATGCACAGTCAAGATTTCATCAAAGTCTGTTTCTATATCCTCTAGCAATTCCAAAGCAATGCTTTCTATTTCATTAGCTTGTTCTCACTGGAACCTTACATACTGAAGATTTAAAACAAGAAGGTGAGAAACTGAGAACAGAGGTTCACACTTGCCTCTATCAAATGTCACTGGTGGTCTCATTGAAATTTTAAAACACTCACCATGCTGCCAAATATTTAGAAACAATTTGTTAGATACACAGGACATGAACACAAGGTAGTCCACTATTTTTCTTTCATATAAATGCATTTCATGATTGCTATTTTTTTTTAAAACTTTTGTAGATGATACAAGGAACCATTTTCCCCAAAACATGTTAAGAAAAGCATTTGACTAACAGGTAAACATACAATGTATACAACTGCCTTGACTTGTTCCCAGGAAAAATCATTAACTTGATATAATATACATATAAATATAAACATACATATATTAGGTTCTTTCATCCTAATAGCCCATCAAAGGAGCAGTAAATAATTCAGACATGAAGAATTTAGCTGCGGAGAACAATGGCCATGATAGTTATTGAATGAGCATTTTGCTCTTTGAAATACCAAGTCCAGAAATAACTTCCATTCGAACAATTCTAGCAGCCGTCTGCACATAACAGTGAAAAAGTTGTATACATAGTCTTGCTAGGATGAACAAGCTGTGACTGTGACAGTGGTAGAAAAATTATCCCACAAGTGTTTCTGCCCATATCATTCTATAAATGACTTCAACATATTCAGCTTTTCAAGCAGCCGTTGGAATGCGTGTATGGAATTAATAAAAGAAAGAATTTGTCCTTCATTATTCATCTTCTTTGCCAAAAAAACACATAAAAAGCAAAAAGGTGAAAGAGTACCAGCACAGGTATGAAAGTAATCATTTCCATTGTCACGAACAATATGCCCATCCACATATTCCATTTATAATGAGGTTGATGAAGTGAAAAATACACAGATTGCAAATATAAAAAACATTCAGAAGCAATTATTGAAATGTATAAATAAAATTAATTTAGTATCAATTTAGAAATATTTTTTTTACAAATGATTTGACCAGCAAATACACATAATGAAAGTGACGGAAATTATTCACATCTATTTAACAGAATAAAGGTGTTCCTAACAGTTCAGGAAATGAGTCATATTCCTAATGGGACAAAAAGATAGGGGTAAAAAACAATGATGATGGATACTACATTCTTGCTTTACAGTTTTAAAAAAACAAAAAACATGGCCACATTACTGCTTCTTATGTTGTGCTGTAAGTGAGTCCCTTCCACAACACAGGAGACAAAACTTTGGCAGGAGCAAAGCAACTCAGCTCCAGAAACTTGTTTTACAGTTACAGGGAACAAAAGAAAAAAAAGAAGATAAAAGTAAAGTACAACCCCCCCCCCCCTCCCCCTTTCAGACTGCTTAACCTAGAGCACAACATGCAAGATCACCACAAGGGCACAGTGGGATTGCAGGCATGTCTTCCACAAACATGAAACAGCACATAATAAGCTAGCCGGCCAGGCTGAGATTGGTGGTGCCATGCAATTAGATCCACCAACAGTCATGGCAGCATTGACAGCATGGTTCAACGACCACAGAGAGGATAAAGGCACCACTTCACACACAATGGATAGATTAAAGAAAGCTGGTGTCTCTAGAGGGTTGGGGAGAGACAGCAACCTGCATGGAAAAGCCAGAAGAATATCCAACCAGCTTTTAACTGGCACGATCAGCAGGCAGACCCTTTCATGGATCCTGGAGAGGAGAGAGGAGCAGCTGTGGCATTGTGCCGCCTGCAATGATGGCTATTCTCCAACCAAGTAAGTAAAGAAACAGCACAGCAAGATCACTGTGAAAATGATCATCGTGAAGACCAAAGACATATGAGGGGGATGTTACACAGTACAGTCGAACCTCTTTTAATGACCGCATGTCCTAAACAATCACTTGTACAAACAACCGCTTCCCACTCCCCCTCTTCCTTGCATTTCTTCGATATTATAATGACCACCTGTCTAAGATGACAACTTTTGACGATGGGTGGTCGTCATGGACAGGTCCGACTGTACTTTAATTTAACATAAAAAGTTCTGAGGTCTTACTTCTATTACTAAAAGTAAAAGGAAGGTGAATACATCTGAGAGGCATTTTAACATGACACAAACCGTGAAACCATAAGTTCTGAAAAGTGCACATCTAAATAATTTTCTGCGAGAATCTTAGCCTTCGCCACTTGTGCTAAGCATAACTGCAGAATGACTCATATACAAAATGGCAAGTTAATTATATCATGGACACATAAGGAAAATGGCTTCTGCCAGGCTTTGGCCACTTTTCAAACTGGCCCATCACAACCTACCACTGTCCTCTAAAACTGTTTAAATAAAATAAGAAATTTCTCATTTATAAGAAACAAAAAAGGAATCATTAGAACAAGAGAGAAATAGACATGAAATTAGGACAACTTTTTTGTTCTTACAGAAATCTATGATTAATTATTTAGGCCATTACCATAGCATGGATACAGGTTGTGAACAAAAGCTCTACCTGCAATTAGAGTCTGGACTTAACTCTGTAACATATGACTCACTAAAACATTCTTCATTTGACTGTCTACAAACAGAAAGTTCAGTCTATCAAAACCATTAACAATTTGTAACGAATAGTATTTACATTTTTCATATTTCTTAATCCTTAAACCTTACCCTCAGAATATTTTACCAACAAAATCCACTGATATATTCTTTTTATGGAAAAAACAACCCTAAGATTGAAATAAATCAACTGCTATTTCATACCCTTGGAAAGAAACCTTAAACAGAGACATCACATCTGAACCCAATCAGATCTAACTCCAAGCAAACCTTAATGAGGCACACAACTCCGCTGGACCCGCTCCAATTCTAAATTAATTAAGGCTGCAGGCTGTGAGCATTTCTAAAATACATGAGCGTAAAACAAGTAAAATAAGGCAGCCATGATGCACAGGGACAAGAATCATAAAGCAGCGTTTAAATTTAAATCATTGACAGCAAGCACTTCATTGACGTTCCCTCTCAGTGGAGAATATGAAATCTACATTTCAACAGTTATCACAGATATATATTCTATAAACAAATTATAGTTAAGATAGATTGTAAAACAACATTTCTCTCGACTGATAGTTAAAAAGTTAATAAGTATTTTATTCTGACAAATAATTATATTTTGAACGGAGTGAAAAAAAACTTGTGGCAAAAGACTGATCAAAGTCATGAAGGAGAATAATTATCTTCAAATTAACAACAAAAAACTGTTTTTTCTTATGTTTCAAATGACAAAATCAATTACCTCTCAGAGGGCTCTAATTATGAAATCTGAACAAGTACAATGCCATTACCATTCTTTGGGCATGACATAATATCACATGCTTTATCTATATACGTCTCAAAACGCAGTGGAATCAGGCGCTCATCAATTTTGGGACAGATGGAGTTATTGGTATCATCTTAAGTCATGTTTACTTATCTTGCTCTTGATGAAAAAAATACCTATCTATCTTGAACAGAAGTCCAGATATTGGCGATTGAAGGACGTGGGTGTCCCCTGGTTCCAGCGGTAAAATGAGCAGAAAATGGTCACCAAATTTGGTGACTTCCATAGCTTTAGAGTCCTTGGAAATTAAAAATGTACATTTTATGTAAATTTAATCACTTTTCCCCAATATCCACACAGAAATATGTTATAAAACACAATGAGCCCAAAATTTAATTGAAAAAAAAACATTTACCCACAGACTGAAAAAAGTCTGTGTCTTCGATTTTGTTTTTTTGACGAGCACCTGATATCACCATGATGAATCACATATATACATATTCAACTTCAGCTTAGATCAATCTTTCCACAACTGGCTATACCTGATGGGTAGCTAAACTTCTTCACAGCTATCACAATCATCACATCACAGCCAATCAAATGAACAAAAAGTTGAAAAAATACAAAGTGCAACTGTTATGCACAGATTCATTCTTGTGTTTTCCCATCTGAAACACATCCTGTCTCTACAGTAAAGACCTCACCAAGGTAGCCACTTTGAAATCCAGCCAGAAGAACAAAGTACCATGTATGTGGGCATGAGAAAAAAAACAACAAATGCCGGAGCAAAGAGCACAACAGCCAAAATCGTTAAGCCTAGTCAGACATGAATTCAGTCAAAGTCTCAAAGTCAAACATCTATTTCATCAGTTGGCAAAAGGACTTCGGACAACTTTGTGCATGTTGAGACCACGGCTTACTTCAATAAGAATGAAAAAGGGGTAGACATGAGATCACGATGCTCCAACATTAACTGAACCCCTATCATCTTTTAAACCAAAATGTTCACCATCATCTCCTCTACAATAACGATGTTACAAGATGTGCACGACTACAGTAACTGGAAAGTTAAGCCATTTTACACATTTGAACATTAGCTGCTATTCTGAAACATTTAGAAACAACCAAAAAAACTCTAAAGATGTTTTTCTCTAAAACTGTTTTTGAAACAAATCTGACATGTTTCTAAAACCATTACAGATATTTTCTAAATATTAAAAAAGTCTGTTTCATGTAAAAGTTACAATGAGACAATGCTGTTATCTCAGGATCCAAGCTCTCTATCATTTGGGTCTCTTCTCAGGCACTCATACACGAACTCTATGACAGATCACACCGATAATTCCCAATTGTAAAACTGCCATGATACGAGGTAAACACATATCAAGAACGAAATGTCATTGTGTGTACAACTCACGGTCTTTGCTAACAAGGAAAAACAGCATGGAGTGAAATTTCTATACTGATCTGGAGTAACTCTATTCATTGGTTAAAGAGTTACCAATCTTACAACAGCCAGATCTTCGGTAGAAAAACGCATCGACCCAAAGCGGGAACAAAAGTGGTAAAAGACCAATCATCCTGACTTAGAATTTGTTGCTGTGACAGCTGCCATACCCTGAGTGCTGCTTCCATTACTGGGACGATTCTTGCTCCTGAGGAAAACAGAAACAGAAAAAAGTAGACAAAGTAAATAAAAGAGAAAACAAAGGAAAAGATCCGGTCCAACAGGAACAGAAAGCAAAAGGAATGGACATGGGACACAAGCATGTGATGAAATGGAGTGAGACACAAATTAAAACCAGACATATAATATAATATCCTAGACCAGGCATTCTGACATACTTCTGGTTCACAATGGAGCCAAATGAGGGACAAGAGGGGGAAGGTGCCTCCCACATTTTGTCAAGAGCAAGACTGGTGTGTTGCTCTACAGAGAGCAAAGAGAGATGGCCATTATAATACACAGTCTTAGAGTATAAGTAATAGTTGTAAAGTGAATAGAGCAAGTTGTAGAGTGCAGATATGCCCTATATGAATGCCATTATTACTATTATTATTATATTATCATTATCATTATTATTATTATTATTATTATATTATCATTATTATTATTATTATTATTTTTGTTATTGTTATTACTATTTAAGTCTGTGATTAAAAAACATACTGTCAACACACTGGCTGTTCTGCATCAGGGCAAATTGAGATAAAAGATTTAAAAAACTGGAGAAACAAGGAGCTCCTAGAGCTGCTACAAGAAGCCAAATCAGACCTTCATAGTATGATAGTGAAGGGTATGTGCTTTGTCTGTAACGTTTTAAAAGTTTGATCCTATGGTAACCACAAAAAACAACTCATTTAAAATATTTTGGCAAAACTTAGACACCCTGTTTTACTAGTTGTTTTTAAGCATCTTTGTTATTGTACTCATACTTTGAAGCAATCCCAAACAGCTTTTAAAGTAAAATTTCAAGATTTCGTCTTCGAAATATTTAGTCATCTCTTCAAAGTGCTTAAAAAGAAAACATAACAAAAATTCAAAATCTGATGTAAAAGTGCTTCAAAAAATCAAAAAAGTTTTACACGACTTATTTGAAACAAGGTATCAAATAAGAAAGATGAAGTAAATTGGTAAAAAAAAAAAAAAACTAATTAAATAGGTTTTTACAAAGTTTCTTAGCCCTTCAAAGAATTTACATTTAAAAATATCAGGGAACATTCGAAATTTTGTAGATAAATGCCTAAAATTCAACATCGAAAGGAAATAAAGAGTTTTATGTTAATTATCAAAAATAGAATATCAAAAGAGTGTCCTCTGCAGGGACGAAGAAAATAAGCAATAAATTAGAGAAATACATTTGTGTCACGCCGCAGTGGAATCAGGCACTTGTCAAGTTTTGGGCATGTGTAGTTATTGGTGTCATCTTAAAGCTTGTTCAATTGTCTATCTTTCGGTGAAAACTACTCTTCTGTCTTTAACAGGAGCCGAAATATTTGGGATAGAAGGAAGTAGGCTCGTCAGATTTCAAAGGTAAAATAAGCGAGAAAATGGCTGCAAAAGCTTGGTATCTTTCAATGCGTGATAGTCCTTGAAAACTGAAAATTTACATTTTTTGTACCTTTACTCATCGGGGTTTTTTTAGCGACCAAACACACAGAAATGTGTTTCTAAATGGACATAAAAGCTGTTGAGCAGAAAAATAAAAATTTGATCAAAATTGCCAAACGGGCACAAAAATGCCAATATCTCCGATGTCCGATGTCATTATTTTGACAAGAGCCTGATTTCACCACGATTCCTCTCATTTTTCAGTGTTAATAAATTATGTGAAATAGAAAAAGGCAAAAGAAAAGACTGTAAAATCATGCTTGGTACATGTGAACAGCAAATTATGTTCACAATACAATCCAAAAAGAACTTAGGCGAGAAGTTTTTTTCCATAGCTTTTGAGGCATTCTTATACTGGAGAGTATTCTATCTGCACACTGCCAATTTGATTCATTTAACTCATTGAGGACGCGCACTTTTTCACCACTGAAAATGTGTTGTTTCGGGATACTTTAAGAAAAAAAGACCCATAACTTCCTAATTCATATAAATATTTCAATTTTGTTTTCTTTATCTTAAACTTAAAAAGGCAACCAATAATGTGCTTGCTACGAAATGCAAATTCGTGTTTCTTGTGTATGAAGGTTGGAAATGTACAATATTATAGGCTTTGGACGGCTGCGGATCGGACGTATGTGTCCGCTACGTCTTCGAAGAGTTAATCCAGGCCTGCCAGATTTTTTTTCCAGGAGGGGCAAAAGTTATCATTTTGGCGCAATACAACCATATTCAACTAAATTTGACTGTGACCTTCTAAATCAAACACATCTGTTTTTCAAGAACACAAGTCGAACACAAAGTTTATAGCCTACAAATCTCAAGTTCAGAATCATTTATTTTTATTTTTTGCATGCAGAATGCAGTAATGAACAGTGTCGATTTGAAGAGACTGGTAGAATGCTACCAAAATTTCCCATGACTCTTGGATTAGAGTCTCTCAACACAGAAACCGAAATTTACAGTAGTCAACACCTGAAGCCATTATTTGTGAAATGACAGTGTCGCGAATGGTAACTTTTGTGTATAACAACACAGCCCACTTGTCAAACTTTTCCATGCTTTCACTTCTGGGTTAAAATTGATACAACTAAGGAGGGGTCTGGGGAATCTATTCAAAGTGTGCACTGAAGCCGTCATCAATCCACCTGACCCAACCGGATCCGATCCTGATAATGGGCACACAATATAGGGTCTCTAAGGACATAAAACACTGCCATGTTGTGAGGACAAGAGCTCACCTTGTCATGGACCAAACACAGGCAATGTTGAAGAAAGTTATTATCCTAGATCAGTCTTAGATCGCACACACTTTATAAAAATTTCATGTTAACCCATTGATAAGAGTTTTTGGTGCAATCAAAGACTAACAGTGCACAGAAAAATGGTTGCAGTGGCCAAAACTTGAAATTGAAAAATGCATAAAATTCATGACGAATTGATTCTCTTTACCCGTAGACTGTTGAAGTTGAAAATATGTACAGAGTTGCTGCGACTTCTTATCCCAGATTTCATCTTGCAAAACAAAACAGAAGCTTTTAAACCACTAAATGGGAAGGACACAAGTCTATCACAGACACAGCCCCCTGCCACCCTCCCCTCACACCAAATCACTCCGAACTTGACAACTCTATATGTGTCAAAACCTCTTCAACTCATTGAATCATCAGCAAAAGAAATGACAACATCAGAAACAGAACATGGGGCACACACTGTCATAACATATATATATATATATACATATATATATTTTTTTTTTTTTATATATATATATATATATATATATATATATATATATATATATATATATATAAATATCTATATATCTATATATATATATATATATATATATGTATATATATATAAAAAAAATATATATATATATGTATATATATATATATATATATATATATATATATATATATATATATATATGTATGTATGTAACCATAAGCATGGAGCGTTTCATTCTTCCAGAATTCCACAAAAGAATTATAAATATGAACATTTCTTAGTCTCCATCACAACAATTCAGTAGAGTTGGGGCGAGCGGACGGACGGGTTCGCTACTTGCAGATGCAGTCAGAGAGAGCGGGTAACGGACGGCCATGCGAGCGGACTGCAAGCCTCGAGTACATTCGTTTTTGGGGTTCGCTCTACAATTTTATTCACTCAGCGAGCAGGCAGGCAAATGGACAAACTCAAGGCTTGAAGACAAGAGCTAACGGACTACGAACCTCAAGTCAGTGGGTTTTTTGGGTCCGCACATAGGGCTGGCGAACGGTCAAACCCTAGCAGACAATATACTCAACGTGAGGTTAGGCCTATCTTCTATTGTTTGTTAAATAATGTTTCGAGCCACTAGCAGTGCCACAGGGAGTGAGAGTGGCTAGTGTCGTAGTACTATGTGTGTAACCTTTCACCTCGTGTGAGGGTCACATAGTGTACATTCTAATTTATTGCGAAGGTGAAGTTTCTAAAAATTCCCAAAGCACTTTGGGAAAAAGGGAGGGAGGGTAGAGAAATTGGGGTGGGAGGGGGTGGACGGGGGCTGTAGTAGTAGTAGTGGTGGTGGTGGTAGTATGCAATGTAAGGAGTCGCTCCTTCCACCCGCTCGAATGCATGGAGTCTCTCCGTCCGCCCGTCCGATCGCTCGCTAAACAAACTGTTGTCTCTGCTTCCGATGTGTAGCGAATAGCGAACAAATCTTTACAAGCAGACGGCTCATTACCCATCAGCTCATTTGAGAGTAGTACCAGCAAACCGTTCGTTACTCATGGATGCTGATTTAGCAAGCCTGACCCAACTCTACAATTTAGATTATTTAGGGACCCCCCTGCTTCAGCCCTGAGAGCAAGGGCCTATCTGGGCTGAGAGAGATGATACATCCTAATAGATGTAGATACTTAATAAGACACCTCCCCACTCATGCATTTGACCACAAGTCTTCCATGTGTAACAGCAAAAAACCTAACCACTACACCACAGATGCCTGTAGAACACATTTTTCTGTAAAATTTGCAGTTTTACTTAAAGAACACTTTGGAGTCTTACACTTCAGAATGTTTCATTAAATCCCTATAAGATATGTTTTGATATATTTAAGGGTGGCCAAATTTTTCTTCCGTGGAAGGTCAAAAGTTACCGATTTTAGCTCAGTTTGATTCAGCACTCCAAAAATAAGCATGGTTGTCTTTCAAAGTCGCGATTGAGTACATTTTATGAAAATTGTGGCCAAGGCCCAATCAAAAGACTTTTGAACAGTCAGGGGTTTGGGGGGGGGGGGTGTTGTTGTACACTGAATGCTAGAGGCTTTTATTGACTTTCACATCAAAAACTAATTTAAAAAAGGAGATATCTATTTCATAGAGTATGCACTGGCCAGCATCATAACCCAACCTAACCACAACCCGACCCGACCCGATCTGATCATGAAAATCTGGTCTGTTTGGCTGACGGGCACCTGTTCTTAGAATGAAAGACTGTCCGTCTACTCCATGAACACCTACCTGAAGTTCTGGGTGTAGGTGAATGAGCAGGAAGTAGGCCACGTCTTTGTTGGTCCAGTAGGAGGTGTGCGAGGTGAGGACAGACAGGTAGCTGTTCTCCATACGCTGCTCCTTCAGCTGGAAGTCCAGCCGGTACTCTAGCTCTGTGGGGTAAAAAGAACACAAAAACAAACTTTATGGAAATAGAAAATTACAGTGGTAATGTCTTATTTACAGGAGTTTGATATAAATTCATTCAGAAAAAGAAAATTCATGAAAATAGAAAATTACAGTGGTAATGTCTTATTTACAGGAGTTTGATATAAATTCATTCAGAAAAAGAAAATTCATGAAAATAGAAAATTACAGTGGTATTGTCCTATTTACAGGAGATTTGTATAAATTCATTCGAGATGAGAAAATGTATTTTAAAAATTAATTACAGGGATATGGTCTTATTTAACAGAAACTCTGTATGAATTCATCCGGGAAAACAGTCACAACTCAAAGGCAGAACAAGTCATATGTATACAGCACTTTTGTTCAAATAAATCCATTGATGTAGCACTTCCACAAATTTGTTTTTATATTTATGGACATCTCAAAAACTGTCTCATTTTTTTAGGGCTGTTGTCACAGTGAGAAACTGAGAAAAAGCATGGCATTTTAAAAAATCTGGTAAATCTCAAGAATATGGTAACAAACTAGTTAATATAACATTTATCACCAACTGGACAAAAACATGATTGCACTATAATCTCTGTCATTGTAAAAGCTTTATGCTCTCCTCAACCCAATTTGGATCATTTGGGAGGTGAGCTGCTCTGATCCTGCATGACAGGGCCATCCTGTGTTGAACGGGTACAGCATCCACAAATATTAAGACATACTAAATAAAAAACTTCGCAAGTCAAGAACTGAAATTAAACAGGTTTGATTTTCCATAAGGGTGACTTTTACTTCAAATTAGGTAAGTAGCAGAAAGTTAGATGGTTGGCATAGATTACCAACAGTAGCCCTAAAAGGACACTACCCACAGATCACAGTGAGGAAGAATTAGGGAAAAGTTAAAAAACAAACAACCACTTCAGATACTCCAGAGGTTCTCAAAAGAGAATGTATAATCCGTACCAAAGAATACATTGTTATAAAATGGATACATTTTGGAATCTTTACTTTGCCCAATAAATAATTCTCAGATATAGATATATTAGATCCAAACAAATACATTTCCTCACAAAACCAATATTAGATGACTTGTTTCTTATGTACAAAATCTACAGACTCATCGTGCTCTCTAATTTTGTTCCAACACCTCTAATATAATATGTCAGTAGTAGGGAAATCATAAACTCAATGCACAGTGGTCATTTCAGAACTAAAAACATGGTATAGTGTTAGAAAAGCTACAAAAATGATTAATGTTTTGAGTCAAAAGAATGAGAAAAATAAGTCTACGCAGCTCACATTACTTGGAGAAAAAAATAAAAAGATTAACTCCAAGCCACTCTTTAACAAGTTAAATTCTGATCCCAAAAAGGGTAAGAAAATCCAGTTTAGGAAAGCAATCCCAGCGAAAATGTCAGTAAAATCAATTGAAAAAGACTTGAGTCCAAGTGAAGATAGCAGAAAACAAAGTCTGTGAGGGGAGTTCATTGGTTTTCCAAAAACTAATCCTGAAGAGTTTCAAGGAACAATTGGGGGAACAAAAAAGGAAATACTACATCTAAACCACTACACAATGCAGGTATTCTTTCATATCCCATGCATTATCATCAGACTCGCGTACAAGAATGATGCTCAAAGACTGGCATTGAACAGGTAAGCGTGTTCAAATCCTGGGGGGAAATGTACACTTTAGAGGAAACACTGGGGACAGGAGAGGTCATGTGCTTGAAGAATGAAGATTTACAAACTATTTTTGGAAAGAGGTTTACAGACACCATTCAGTCACATAAGTGCCAAAGATTTGAGGTGTATTTAGAGAGTAATATACCACACAAAAAAGGAAATATAAGGACGTTAAATGTTTGCTGGGAAAGAAAGAGCAAACCTCACCGGAGCACCCACCAACCACTCACATCACAAACAAGCAATGTTTGAGCAACAGTCTTAAGATGGGCTTTCACCAGAGACTATTTTAAGCATGATATACTGCTTGTTCCAAATATACAATGGACACATGTGACTAGCAATTGTGTCAAGATATCTGATTAAACTGTGTATCGTTGTCTATGGTGCATTATTGTGCACTTCATAAATATGTATATGAAATTGTAAACCAAATTTCTGTAATGCTAAAGAAAAGATTTTAAAAATTTCTTATATATGAACTTTAACACAGAGATATAAAGAGGAGTAAAAAAAAAATCCAAGATACCCCACACCCTCCTCATTTCTAAACCAACAGTGAAACCAAGATTTTAAAATACCAAATCAAGAACCAACCTGTACTTAACTAGACGCTCATCACACACAAGAACAAAAACAGTACAACTCCCACATACTCAGGCTAACTCAGGATGGTATTTGCCCAATAGGCCAAGATTTTATGTATATGTGAGGGGTTCTGTGGAAACCCTTCAAGAATTGAACATTTTCTAAACTGACATATTTACAAGCTTGAAAAACTTCATCTTTCATCTTTCAAGAGCATTTTGCACTTTAATTGAGTTTGATTTTTCTGTAGAAAGTATAGCACTTCAAAGTGCATGGCAGTCTGAAGGATGAGTCTAAAGAAATAAGCTTTGAAAATTATACATAAAGAGCTGAATAAAGAGTCAACCTAAAAGAAAAATACTTTAAAAAGGACACGGAAGCAAAATCCATTCAAATTAAGATTTAGAAATGTCTTAGCTTTCCATATTTCAAACACCTGGATTTCAGACACAAATTCAAGTGTGGGTCTACTTTTTAGGAAACCTCAACATAAAATTCTACAACTTCCTGACTTTTCCCACGGCCCCTCAGTTTTACAGAATTCCAAAATCTTTTTCCTTACAGTACAAATGGGTACCTCATCATTCATTGAAAACAGCAACAAAAACCACAAAAAAGTGAACAAAATGCAAATTTAAAAAACCACAACCGATTACCAACTCAAGCCATCTCCAATAAAGAAAATCAATGAAAGGATGAATTAAACCAAATAAGATTTCCAAATGAGACAAAGACACACTCACCAAACGGAGAACACACAGATCTCCCTGTGAATTCTATATACATTACACAGAAACGGTCAAACACTGAAAACTAAAATGACAGGGTGGGTAACCAGCTGAAGGGTGACAGTAACTTAACATTTCAGACTCCATTCTCAAGTAGCCACCTGCAAACATCTTAATAATGCTCTGACAGTTTCAGTTTCAAACTTTCACACAATGGAGAAAAAGAAAATGTGCAACATTTGACTGGAGTAAAATGATATACATATGAACACAGGTAATCGGGACAGAGGCAAATTTCTTTCTACCTTGTTTACAACAAAGTAGTGACAGATGGCCATAACTACAGCACTATACTTCTGAATCAGCATTTAGTCATTTTTCACCCACCTCTTTTGTTTCATCTGTGTTGCTTTTTACCTTTTCTTCTCAACTTTTTTAATTAAAGATTTCTTCCAAAGTGGAAGGTTTTAATCAATACAGACCCCATTCTATTAGTAAGACATTCAACCACTCTACTTTCTGACATGGATGTCCAATGAGTTAATAATTACTTTACCTTAGAATTATAAATATATAAATACACAGCTCTCGCAGCCTCTGAACTGTTTGAACATCCAGCAATTAAACCAATCTGAATTGCAATCAACACAAAGCAACAAAACAACAACTTTAAAAACTTGCCAAAACCCTTCTAAAAGAAGCATGTAACCATGCAAGTCAAATACAGATTGTTCTACAACACAGTACACATCAAATCCGATCTTCAACAACAGGGCTTTTGAGGACATTTGATACTATGTGTGGGATTGTTGTACTGGGTGCTTTCACATGCAAGAAATCTGGACATGGAAAGACTTCACATTGCCCGGCTGGCTCGGTTTCAAACACACGAGAGTGGTCCCAATCGGTATGCACTTTAAATAACTTTTTTGCTACGCTTCATCCTTTAATGTCAACAGTCAGGCACTACTAAAATGACCTTAAAGTGTAAGTCTGAAGCCATACCTAAAGCATGTAAAGAATTGCCATTAAACTGTAAACATCACATCAAAATATGTTAATAAACATACAGTACAAATGATTAGTCAAATCTAACGCTAGTGTATGTAAACCATAGACTTATACCCCTAGATCACGCACTGCCATCGTTCCAGCTCTTTCCTCTTTATAAAATCTTCGCTGCAAAGCATGCAAATCCGCACTATAAGACACGCCATTACACCACAATGAAAGGCAAAACACAATTTCGCTATGGTCACGTGCGAGCTGCACCTTATCCCTTTGCCCTTTGTTTCGTTCAAATTGAGTCAAAAGGCGCACTTCATGATGAATTGGAAATGGGTCAGTGTGCATGATCTAGCAAATCACAATACATGTCTAAGGTGTGAGCACGCCGTTAAGTCACAAGATTATAACAAACTCACAATAAAAGCAGCAACCTTCTACAACAATGTTAAGAAACGTTCATGCTCTAACATTCAAACACAAAAGCTTACCAGCCAAATCAAGGAAAGCATCCCCTGAGATATCAGTGTCTGAACATGGAATGAAATTGATGTTTACTTTAACAATCCAAAGAACAGAAGACAGACAGCCTGTAGATGCAAGTTGTGAGCAAACAACCAGTTTTGTAGTACACAGACAGTTCTATGTTAGGAAAAGTTCTTAAAAAGAGGTACAGATAATTAAAAAGAGACTAAGGTTGATGAACAAGAAACACTCTGGCTCACCATCATAATATTAGCCACTACTCCCCATACTCTAACTACTGAAAGCCTTAGTGTGGAATCCTTTGTTAAAGGTGAACTACAGTCAATCGATGAGATGTGGAGAGTCATCTTGTTTGCCACAAAATTACTGTGTTAAGTTTTATTTTCATTTTACTTTTTTATGAAGTTAGGAATATGGTCCTCAGAATCATCCTAACAATCAAAATCTATTTTCACAAACTTAAGGAGAAAATAAGTGGAACAGGGGAGTCCCGTACCACAACAGGAACAACAGCACAGATTATGCAAAGGAGAGCCGAAGGACTGACCCAGTGCTATCATCTCACATATATGAACAATTAAGTCTGTAAGTCTATTAAGTCTATTGTAACAGAGCTTGAGGATCCGAGCCAAAATATGAACTCATATTTCAGCCAACATACAGAATTTTACTTCCTAATAATCTTCTCAAACAGTTCTATCTATCAAATATCTAATACTGGCACAAAGATTTGACCTTTTGGGTCTGATCAAAGCTGTTCAGCAGCATGAGCCTCACTGCAACCTGTCACATAACATATCACATGATGCGTCTTATCATACAACAGTGAGATCCCTCACCGGTTTTATCTAGTTCATTCTCCTCTGGGTACGTGACATCAGTTCCCAGCTTCACTTCAGGCTCATTGCCAAGCTTGTTCATCATGCGAAGCTCTGCGGTGAGTTTTTCAGCAACATTTTTCTTTTTTCGATTGTTGAACCAGCCAGCTGAAAAAACAACAACAGATGCCACATTTCTTTAAGTGGATGGTCCAGGTCTGAACACTTTAAAATCACAAACTCAAACTTATACTTGAGGAATTGTTATCTAAGTGGAATAACAAAAAAACAGTGACTCATTTGGCTTATGTGTTCATTTGCTCATTTTACTAACCTTAATGTTACCCCCCTCGCCTCCCCCCCCCCCCCCCCCCCGGGCGGTGTTACTGACTGAAGTGTCTTTAGGTGAGACATTAACATGTTCTTATGCAAAGTAGAATTGTAAATGGGTTGATTCATTAATGCCCTGCTCATAACTGTGCCTGAACTGAAACAGGGAACTGCTGCTTTTTCTTTCCTAATCCTTACTATCGTCATTTTCCTCTACTTCTTTTTTATGTTTGTCACACTCATGTGACCTACTATTTCCGGGGTGCCTGATTAGACTTTGTGCTGTTGAAGCTAGAGAGGTGAGCAGAGTGGGCCTGATTCCCTGTAAGCACTCCTCTGTTGACATCCATCTTTTGGCGCTCATATGACCTTATGCAATTGCGAGCGCCGTAAAAACTCTACTAAAACTAAAACTAAAACTTAATGTCAAAAAAATGTGTCAACTAAAGCTGTTTTTAAGACTATTTGATATTGAATTGAACCAGTCACAAAAACCATGACCTACTAAAACACATTTGCCATGACAGTAACAACTCACTCCTTACTCAGGGTCATCATAAAAGTATCGGAGTAACATTATGCAATATCATAAACCACTCCCGTGGCCTGCCAACCACCCACACACAAGGAAAACTCCTACACATAGCCCAAATGTACACAGAAATTTTCTACACATAGTCTAAAGCTTACAGAATGAAAACTACACACAGCCCAAACTTACACTGTGAAAACTTCTACACAAAGCCCAAACTAACACAGCAAAAATTCCTACACACAGCCCAAACTTATACAGTAAAAACTTAAACACACAGCCCAAACTTACACAATGAAAACTCCAACACAGCCCAAACTTACAAAATGAACACTAACATACAGCTCAATCTTACAAAATGAAAACTCCTGAGCATTCCTATACACACAACCAAAGCTTATAAAATGAGAATTCCCACACAAACAAATACAAAAGACAGATAGAAAAGAAGTAGGACTGAACTTGGCACCCTCAATCCACTCACTTACAGAGTGATAACTCTTTCAAACAGTCATAACTTATACAGCAAAAAGTTCTATACACAGCCCAAACTTGCACTGAAAATTTCTACACATAGCCTAAACGTACAAAAATAACACTCCTATACACAGCCCAAAACTTTTTCATCAAAATCTTCTACTCACAGTCCAATTTACACAGTGAAAAACTTCAACACACAGTCAAAACTTACACAATAAAAATTCCTGTACAGTCCAAACCTACAGAATGAAGACTCCTACACAGCCCAAACTTTGCCCTACACGCAAAGAAAACTTACACAATGAAAACTTCTGTGGCTTGGCTTGAGCTGAGACATCTGAGCTTTCCTCTTTCCCACTGCCCTCTCCATCACCGCTGTCTTCGTCTTTGTTCTTTTGGGTCAGCTCATCAATGGCCCCGGTGAATGCTGCGTAGGCCCTTCGTGGGATCTTTGAGTAGGGCTCCTTCTTGGGAGCCGAGAAGTGGTGGATGTGTAAAGGCATAATGGTGGAGTAGTGTTTCAAGATCAAAGGCTCCAAACGGTAGGCCTGTGGTCAGGGGAAAAAAAAACAATTCAAATTTTTTAAACCAAATTTGATAGATGCTATTACTGATAATACATACTGAAACCTGAAAGTTTAAGAAAGAAAGAAAAAAAAAAAAAAATAATAATAATAAACAAAAGAAACAATAGGAAAAATAACCCAAGAAAACAAAAAAGACAGACGTGAAGGAAAGAAAGATGAAAAAAGAGTGAAGAAAAACAGAAACAAATAAAGAGAGAAAGAAAAGGAAAAAAAGGACAGGAACAAGAATAAAAAGAAGAGAAAACAAAGAAAGCACAATAAGAACATCATAATTTATATTTATTCAATGTCTTATCAATATTCAATATCATTCCAAACCGTATAATGACAGTGACACTTACAACAGGATCGGACGGGTGGAAGATGTTGAAGAGTCGCTTGCATAGAGTGGTGGACAGAATGTGATCCTGAGTGCCTAGCCCCTGCGGTCGAATCCCTCTCAGGGCCAAAAACACTGCTAGAGGCGAGCCAATGCTGAACAAGTTCTCAATCTGCAGAGATACCAAGTTTCAAGTTAAAAGTACTGTCAAACGAAAGAAAAAACAAATGAATTAAACAGAAGTACCTGTCGGCAGAATGTTTGTCCAAGTTTTTAGTTTGAGTGTTTGAGTAAAGAGAAGCACATTGACTAAATATTGGTCATTTAGTGGAGGGAAAAAAGTAAGACAGACAGACAGACAGACAGACAGACAGACAGACAGACAGACAGACAGACAGAAAGAAAGAAAGAACAGAGCGGGAAAGTAAAGAAGCACACAACTGGGTATGAGTATTAAAGAAAATCACATCAATATAAAAAGAGCCATTTAGAGAAGGGGAAACAGTAAGACAGATACAACAGAGGGAAAGAAAAGAAGTAGAACCTACCACTGTCACCCTCCACTCATCCGCAGATTTATGTGAACAAACTTCATCCTTTTTGAAAACCCACTAAACAATTTTGCTTCTCCTTTGATTATAAACTTACATCTCTAATGGCAGCAAATCTCAAAATGTGCAAAGCAGATACAAATACTGGAAATCTCTAATGAAACTGCATAATCTGGGTCCAAGTCATAAACCTGACCTAAGCATAAGAAAATCAAAGTCATACAAGAACCATCTGTAAAAAGTCTATTAAAAGAAACGCCAAAGAAATTGCATAGTCTGTATCCCAGTCATAAACCTAAGAAAAAAAGGAAATCAATATCACACAAGACCCATCCATAAATAGTCCTTCGAAAAAAATGCAAATGAAATCACATAATCTGGATCCAAGTCGTAAACCAAAGCAGAAAAGGAAACTAATTTCAAACAAGAAGCCATCACTAAACAGTCCATAATAGTTTGTCAATAGAACTTACAGAGAAAGGAAGTTCCTTGTTGACTTTCCCTTGTCTTGCTCTGATAGACTTCATCAAACTTTCCAGATCTTTGACTCTGTTCAAAGGACAATGAGAGATACAGTTTATGAACGAGTGAGGAATTTAAGAGAAATTCCATATCATCTACGCTGCTGGCACTTAAAAATGGTGAGAGTGATTCTATATTCATCCAGGACATATCAAGCATGCAAAGTGATGATTAATTCAGCAACATTAAAATAGATTTACTTCCATCTACACTGCCATTTTTAACTCACACTCATTTGCTGTCTTATCAGTATTCCTGAGTGACAGCAAAAAAATTTATAGATGCAAACCACATTCTTACCAGGATAAAATTAAAAAGGTTGATGCTCGTAAAAAGAGAGAGTGATGGGGGAGGGGCGGAATTTAGTCCAGATAAATAAACACTTACTGTACAAAAAATTGCAATTAAATGTGTTTTACATCCCCATGGACACAATTTGATCATTTAGAGGCAGAGTGTTTTGACCCAGAGCCAAGCCAAACTGAGTGGAATACAGCATTCCAGGAGACAGAAAGAGACCCTCAATTTAAAAAATTGCACAATCCAGGAATGAATTTGCATCTTCTATATGCCATAGCTAAGAGCCTTACCACTACACCACAGATGAAAGTGAACACTTACCAAAGGCATCATCATAGCTCCAGATACATTCTACACTATTATACACAGTATCAATTCATACTTTAGCACACAGGTTATGTGCATCCCCTATAGAATCAAACAAGAGGAACTTTTCCTAGGAATGAGACCACACACCACTCTGAGACACTATTCTAAACCAACTCAACAATTAAGCACTACTTTACAGTTTAAAACTGTATATCAAATGTTGGTTTTGCATACTGCGCACAACGCTTTGAAAATATTATCTAATAAGTCAGGGTACAGAAATAAGGAAAAGAAAAAAACTGTCAAAAAGATAAGCACTTTTCCCTTTCAGTCCTTGTCTGTAGTCCAACAAGGTAAACACTCTCAATATTCAATTCCAGCTGAATGAATTAAAAGTATACAAGATAGACACTGTAAATCAGTACATCTGTGATTAAAGATAATTAACTACTACTGTTCATATGGGAAGAAAAAATAATACAGACACAAAGATAGGCAATGACCTTCTCTGATGATTTATAAACCAACCGTGTCTAGACAAAACTGGCCAAGTCAGAGATTTCAAAAGCAAAACAAAATTAAAAAGCTTCAATTTTTAATCACTATTCTTAACTCTCTATATCATGTACATAATACGTAGTATTATCCTATACGCATAAGAAATGAAGAAATCAAACATGTTGAAATTTCATAACAAAACAGAGGTAATGACACAGAGAGAGAGCGACAGTACCTTAATCTTTTCACATCCAGTTAAAAGAAAAAAAAATGTCAAAACCTGCCCTGAACCGACACCATAACTATCTATTTTTGACAACACCATCTTTTCCCCTACAGTGATGTGCATTTAGCATACAGTGTGAGGTAATTTCAAGAAACCAACAAAACCCATCATCAGAGTCGACCATTGCCTGCATCATGACAGTTTATCAGTTTATATTCCTTGCAGCGCAGTAAGCTGCACAGCCGTGCGCAATGTAATGGTTACGCTCTCCTCTACCACACAGAGAAGATATATATGAGATCCATTCCCGCAAGGGGACTTTTTTTTTAAATTGAGCGTCCCAGAGTATCTACTGGGATGTCGTAAGACTTTCAACCAAGATTGGCTCCGACATACAGGAACAAAGCAGCTTGCCTCCGAAAAGATCTAAATTGTGTTAACGAGGCTTGGTGTGTTGGGTCAGTTCCACTGGCCAATCCAAGATATATCTAGCCCAAGTAGAAGAGCTAGATTTTCAGAAAACTGTCTGGAACAGATAAGTTTATACTTTTTCCATCTTAAACAATATAAATTGAATATATACTGTGCCCCCAACAACACAATTTAGATCATTTAGGTGGAATTCTGCTTCAATCCTGCTTGTCAAGGCCAACCCAGGCTGAAAGTGAAGGGGACACAATGTACAAGCAAACAGATGATGACAGTCGATTAAAAAAAAAACCCCACCTTAAATGGGAATTGAACTCATGATTTCTGCATGCAGGGGCAAAGAGTCTAATCGTTACAACACAGATGCTGGCAGTTCATCAGTGAACCAAGCGTGCTACAATGTCAGCAATCATAAACCTGCACCTTTAGGTTAACTTTTCATTCTCTTCATCCGGCTCAGTATCTTCTTGGCTCACATTTTGAGCTATTTTCTGTCTTTCTTTATACATTCTAGGTTAACTCAATAACTGCATAATTCTGTAAAAGCTTTGTTCAAATTTTAAATGAAAGCATTTCTTAAAAAGTATTCTCATCAATGGACTGCATTTTCATCTTAAGAATCTGTTTTACACATTGATACTCACTATCTCAGAGCAAAAACTAAAACCAGCTAATATTTATTACATCAACCTCATTTTCACTGATTTGTAGAGCTCAGCAATTTGCATGTTAAAGCTACCTAAAGTAGTTATTTGTCATCGGACTTTCCTGTTACTTCAATATCATGTTTTACCAATCTATAGCATAATAATAAATAATATATAATCGAAAAATCAGACCATTAAAATTTTTGCTAAATGGACTTGAGTATTAACTAGAGCAAAAGAAGCTTGAAAAGTGAAGAAGCTAAGCGGAAGTTGTTTCTCATAGAAACTTCAAGCCCAGCTTCCTGCTATATTACAGGCTAAATCTTGAGAATGAAATCCCTGAAAAGCATTCTAATAGATTATCTGGATGTGCACACAGCGAATGTTGAGCGAAAATAAGTGTGTGTTGCACCTTAGCCAAAGTAGAGACGAAGGAATCGTTTATAAGAGCAATAAAAAGCAATTGAAGGCTGCTGTGGAAACTCACCGTGGCCAGACAGCACTTAAACGGAGATCCCTGATACCAAGGTCAAACGGAGAAAGGAACTATAACATTCAACATATAAACAGCATATTCACTGCCATTCAGGGGGAGAAAGTAAACATCTATTCCTCAATTTACTAACACAGGTATCAACACTGGGATTTTGTGAAAATAACTAGCAAACAAAAAGACAGTGTATAGAGACAATTAATATGCTTTTATGGGGATAAACAATATAAATGTCAAGAACAATACTTGTACCTCTCAACTTCTACTTTGCTAGAGGACAGAAAAGTGGCATAGAGCACCTTTCTTCTTATGTCGTCACTTGATTGTTTTTCCACTAAAATTCCATACAAGTACTTTCATTCTCTGTGTATATGTGATAAAGCATCAGAGACAAGGTTCACATAGGCATGACCTCACCTCAAAAGTCACTTCAAATGTTGACCAAGAGCACCATTCTTCTACAGGCATGGTACATGTTGACATAAGCTTTTCTTGCCTTCCTAATGTTCACTGGCATAAAAGGCAAGAAAGAGTTGAAGGACTTTGTTCAAGTACAGAGAAGCACAAGGATACCTTAAAGTTTATTTGAGAAACAAAAGTCCCAAGATAAACAGAAAAAAAGCAAAAGGGACAAAGCAGAAGTAAGACCTATCAGCCGTGTCCTCCACCCACCCACTATGCAAGTACAAAAGAGGGGAGACTGACACTGAGTGGAAAACAACAATAAGATACAGGTAATAAACAAACTCAACTGCGGGACAATCAGATGAGGAACAGTGTTTGTTCACCTCTGTGATCAAAAGACTGCATCCGAGTTGTCAAGACAGCTGTCAGTGATACCAAATCTAGCGTCATTGGCTCCATGATGAGCTTCTGTATACTTTTACATCAAAAGCTCCTTTATGATCATACTGATTTTTTTCTTCTAACCCTTATTAATTACCTTACTCAAAATACAATCTACTATAACAAGCCAATACTGAGCATGCTAGTCATTCTGTCCATCCTGCAACATCTTGAGTTTAAGATTGAGAAAACAGAAAGAAGCACATCAACATAATAACAGTCATGGGGGGAGGGGGGGGAGCAAAACAGAAAACAGAAACAACAGAGGGAAACTAAAGAAAAAGGATCAATGGATCTACCGCACCCTGCAACAGCTCATTTCAACATCTCCATAACTTCGTAACAGCCAACAGCACAACATGAACATACAACACAAACACTGGGAATAATTACTTGTCTTTGGCCACTTGAACATCTGAGAGAACTTCACTGTTGCCATGAGCATCTTCTTCTTCTTCATTCTGGAAAAGAAGGCAAAAGTTTCTGTAGTCATGATAAAGATCAACTGAAATCCCGAGACCCTGATCTGACCAAAAATATTTCACTCACGGGCATTTGTGTCACGGTGAAGTGGAATCAGGCGCTCATCAATTTTTGGACATACAAAGTTAGAGTATCATCTTAATGCTTGTTCTTTTGTTTTGCTTTTGATTTTTTAGATAGTCATCTACATTCAAGATATTTGTGATTGAAAGAGATTGGGGGGGGGTCAAAAAGTTGTAAGGATTCCAGTGTAATCCACATCCAAGAATGAAAATTACCCTGAATAAATTCCTATAGAAATGTATTCCCCATAACTCCATCCCATCCGATAATGACACAGTAAATTACTTAAAATCTCTCTCTCTCTCTCTCTCTCTCTCTCTCTCTCTCTCTCTCTCTCTCTCT